AACATTAAGAACTCTTGTGAGGCCACAGCAGGCTGCTGGGGACACTTTATAATAATGTTAAAAGGAAAACAAACCGACTCCTCCAACAGAGGAGGTGCAGGAAGTACTTTGTCTTTTCAAAGTTATAAAGTTACAAAACATATTAGGCATTCCTTTCCTTAAAACGGTACAGTGGTAAGGAGAACATCCCCTACAAACATCCCATAATTTTTTTTGCAAGGGAGGGTAGACAAGGGTGAAGGTCCGGAATATCCTATTTAGGCAAGGTCTGCGTTACCTTTTTTTTTCTTTCTTATGAGTAGGGCCCAAATTCGAGCCCCTCCCACTCCCCCCCCAAAAAACATTTAATTGATCAAAATTAGATTTCTGGGTAATCAAATCTTAAACATAACCATGTTAAGTGTTTTGGAGACCCTAAGTTACAGAGTAATTTTTGTCATGTATTAACGGAAACTTTATACTCTTTGACCAATACCTCCCACTTCTTTCCCCCAGCTCCTGCCAACCACCATTCTACCCTCTGCTTCTATGCGTTGGACTATTCTAGATGCCGCCTGTAAGTGGACAGATATACACACACATACATACATGTGTCATATATAAGCATGATGTGTATGTTATATCCAGGCATCCTCTGTGTCTGGCTCATTTCACTTACACAGTGTCCTCCAGGTTTATCCATGTTGTCACACATGGCAAGATTGCCTTCTTTTTAAAGGTTGAATAATACTCCATTGTGCCACATTTTAAAACTAGATTTTCTTTATTTGCCCATGAACATTGATTGCTTCATGTCTTGGCTATCATGAATAATGCTTCAATGAACATGGGAGTGCAGATACCACTTCAAGATCGTGATTTCAATTCTCTTAGATCTATAGCCAGAAGGGGAATCGCTGGATCATGAGGTAGTTGGATTTTTAATTTTTTCAGGAGCCTCCACACTGTTTTGCATGGCGGCTGCACCAATTTACATTCCCAGCGACAATGCACGAGGGTTCCTTTTCTCCGTATCTTCACCGATACTTAGTATTCCTTGACTTTTTGATAATGATGATCTTAACAGGTGTGAGATGACATATTATTGTGGCTTTGATTTGCATTTTCCAGATGATTGGTGACCTTGAACATCTTTGCCTTCTTGGGAGAAATTCCGTTCCTTTGCCCATTTTAAAATCAGGCTATTTATTTATTTAGCTAGAAAATTGTCTGAGTTGCTTATATATTTTGGAAATTATCCCTTCTCAGACATATGGTTTGCAAATATTTTCTCCCATCCTGTAGGTTGCCTTTTCATTGTGTTGGTCTTTTCCATTGCAAAGCAGCTTTTGAGTTTGATACAATCCCACTTTTTGTTTTTGCTTTGGCTGCCTGTGCTCCTGGTGTTAGATAAAGACAACTGCTATCAAGGCCAATGTGAAGAAGCATTTCCCTTTTTTTCTTTTTCTTTTTCTGGGAGTTTTATGGGTTTCAGGTCTTATGTGTAAGTCTTCCATCCATTTTGAGTTGGTTTTGCCTGTGGATTATGATAAAGGTTCATTCTTT